ATGTTCCTCATCGCAAGCAAGTCTGTCTCTAGCAGCGGCTTTAGGGTGCTGTGCTGGCCTCTGACGCACCTGCGACTATCTTTTGCTTCGAGAGGATAATGGTTTAGGATAAGTTTTCATTCTGTCTTCGGATGGTTCTGTCCTACCATGACAGTCACCGGTCCTCGATTTCTTCAGGCCAATCATCTCCAAGATCTTTCCATTCTTCATCAGGTGAAACCATCGCACTTTCAGTATGTTCCGCAGGCAGCGTTGCTGAAGCGTGTCCATCTTCCTTTCATGGCGCTTTAAAAGGGTCGATGTTCAGAGCTGTACTTCAGGATTGAGAAGTCGGCGACTTTTAGTAGGATGATCTTTGTCGCTTTCCGGAATGATTGGTCTTGCCATACTTTAGAAGGTTATCTGAAATTTACAGCTGCCAGCCCTAAGCGCCAACCTACTTCCGTATCACAGCTTCCATCTTTTGCTAGTATAGGGCTGAGATACTTGAAGCTTACGACCTCCTCGATAGTCGGTCTACTTCATTTTATCTTTCCGTAGTTAGTCGGGTGCTCGTATGAATTTCGTTTTGGTGAGATTAACTTCAGGCCTACCGTCGAGACCACCTTGCACACTCCTCGTCTTGGTGACAGTAAGTCATTGGCAGAGTCGCTCAAGCAGTACAATGCCCGCAGCGCACTCCAGTCATGCTATGAGTACTGCTGGGTATATTCGGTGTAATCTTCATCTGGCAGTAAATCCATCACTGTTTTCGGGACGACATTCCTCTGCATCACATTATCCACTACTATGTTGCATAACAAGGGCTGAAAGCCCTCTCATCCTCTCATCGGCGCGTTCCACTGTTGATGTAAAACCAGTTCGATAATGGCTTTTCAGCTCTAATAGCGCCTTTAGTACCTTCATGGTCTTGTACGATACTCCATAGTGTTGCAGTATGCGTCACAAGAACCGACGATGTATAAAGTATGTAAAAAGCTACTCGGAAGTCGAGGAATGCTGCAGCCCAAGATAGCTGGAAATTCCTTCTCTGTGGTTATCTTCTGTAGTGCAGCTATGTTATCCGTACACGAGAGTCGCGCTCGAAACCCTGTTTGATTTGGTCGAAGCGATTCGTCAGTTGCGTTCTTTAGTCTTCAAAGAAGTATTCGTGCGAATACTTTTCCAGCACTGGCAGAAGCGTAATGCTGCGGTAGTTGGAGCAATCAGAACGATTCCCGCGTTTGAATATGGGAATGGTCACGCCTTAATTCCAGTTCTTGGGAATTTCCAACTTCACCCATATACTGTCAAAAGCCAGATGGATCCGGTTCCGTAGGATTTTGCCTAAACACTTCGGAATTTTCGCAGGATTTCAAACTTCGACAGACGTATGGCATGTCGGATTTCATCTTTTGATGGAATAGAGCAGTCAATTTTCAGTTCTTTCCTATCTTCTAACTCTATTGCAAGGTCAATCACCAGAGCGGGCCTCTAGGAGTTCTTCGAAATGTTTAGCCCATCTCCTCCGCCGGCTGTCTGAATCTGGAAAAGGCTCATTGCACTCACTGCTACGAATCAGACAAGTTAAGGGTTCATGTTTGCCGCCATTTGCGATGATGTAGTCTTCCAGTCCTTTTTCGAAGCCGCCTGTTCCAGTTTCTGAGCTTCGAGTTTTATCCAGTGTCGTTTGTCACTACAGTAACTCTTGTTGTTTGCTTTCATGAAATATGCTCGCTCTTTCTCTCTTCAAGTTTCTGTAAATACTCCTGCTTCGCCGCGTTTTCTGACGAAGAGTGAGGGTTTTTAGCCGAGACCCAAGGATGCTTCGTCCTTTTGCTTACGCCGAGTATATTCGCTGCGGCAGCGATGGCACCCCTTTTGAGCTGTTGGTAGAGTAACTCTGGTTCCTGACAGGTCGTCCTTTACAGCAGCAAATCTGCTTTTAATCTCGCCTTGAAACGCCGCGAAAGCTCCGGAATTTTTTTCCTTGCTGCTGTTGAATGTCGCATTCTCGCCATTCCGTGCTGTTCTTCGGGTCGTAGCCAGTTTGGAAGGGGGAGCTTTGCGACAACCAAGAAGTGGTCCGAACCAGTAACGTCGTGCTCTGCTATCCTAAAGGACGCTTCACTACTTTTTGCTGACCAGCATGTGGCCCAGCTGGCTCTTGAAACGATCACCTGGCGCTATCTGTGTTAGCTGTTGGATTTGAAGGCAGAGAAACAGCGTACCGCCGACGACGAGGCCGTGAATAACAATGTTCTAATAGCTGCTGACCGTTGTCATTCATTGTCTCGCACCCATGTTGGCTCATCACATGATGCTAGTTGGAATTGTTTCTTCCGACCTGCTCGTTTATGTCACCGACGATAATCGATAATTGATTGTGTGAAAGAGAACCGATATCTTCGTGTAAACAGGTGGAGAACTCGTCTTTTCTTTGATCATCTGCGACATTGGTAGGAGCGTACACGACAACAACGTTGACCTTCACACGTTCTGTTACAAAAGGTAAACAAGCATTCGGTCGGTCGTGTACTTGACAGAGACCAAAGCTTTCACTGCTCATGGCGACAGTGCCACAAGTCATTGCCATTCTTGGTTTTCGTTTGGAATTCTGATTCCCAAATCAGTGAAGCTGAAATCGCAAGGAGGTCGAGGTGGTACCTTTCAGCTGTATAGATGACGTCATCTGGATTGCCGTCTTCGTTTAACGTTTACACGTTCCAGCAGCGAAAAACCGATCAAACTACCTGTTAATTATTCGACAAAAACTCATGTTGTGTTTCGCAGTTCGCATCTTGGCATTCAGCAATGCAAGAATGTTTCTTATAGGTCAGCTGTTAACAACTTTCCCTAACTACCAACGTTAATGTTACCTCGTAGTGCAACATCTAGGAATGAGCTGCACTGGCTTAATCAGGGGACTGTCAGTTCGGAAGATCATCGGCACAGTATGATTCTTAGTACCACTAGAAGCATTAGAATCCAGATCAATTCTATGCAAAAAATTAAACTCCGTAGTTAATTGTAACAGTTCAGATGATTTTCTGGTTTTCAAATAAACTGTCAAAACTGTAGTGGAATTGAAAAAAAGCATAAAAAAATAAAGGACTACCAATGTAGGAATACAAGAAGAGCATGACGCAATGATGAATAATCATCCAGAGCATTCCGGAAGTATCCCATTGCTTAAAATGCAAATATTACTTGAATAGTAAGGACATTAGTGCCCGTGACTGTGCAAAGAACACACTGTCTACTCTGAGTAGTGTTTGTAAAAAAGAGAAGGCTGTGTAATAACCGCATCAACTGCAGTGACATCTGTTCCGCTTCAAAGTCCATCATATGATTATCTTTCCCCTCCCTCTCCCCAGATTTAACATTTTATCCTTGCCTTCTTTAGTTCCCTGCTTTCTGTGACAATTACGCACACCAGGGCTTGTTCATCGGTGCTTGTAAACTAACTTCAGTTTTGTTGTGCCCATGCGTCTTTTACACTACACGCTAATTGATGTACTGTACTTTATAATCCATATACTGTGTCATTGTGAAATGTAGGTGGATTCAGCGCGGCAGCACAAACGTCGAACTAAATGAAGAAGAATAGTCTTGTGTCACGTTCAAGGCCATTCGTATTGGAAACGTGAAGAGATTATAATATTAGCGTGTGTTGAAAGTGACATTCCGCATATATGTCAGAAGAGTATTGTCGGAGCCTGATTGCCTGTTACAACAGGTTGAAGATTCGCACGCTCCAACTTGTCTCGTTGAAGAATTCCGTCACCTTCGTGTCATCGGTCTTCAAACGGTTTACTGGTAAAGGGTAAAATTTTACACTGGCGGGGACCTGAGACTATTTTGCGTACTTCTTCAAAGAAAAATTTGCCTTTAAATTGAGACAGACGCTTGTTCAGAGTTCCAGACTACTATCAGCCGTAAAGGAGATGTGTTATTGAATCTAGGTACAGGTAGTACCGGATGACTTCAATATAATATGACAGTGTCAAGTGTGACTGTCGACCCAGGCTTGAAATTCTCAATAACACGAGAACGTTAAATTCACTGCACGAACAAAGTATGAGTAAGCGAAGACATCTGACCGGACAAAAGATTTGTAGATTCTTTAGTTACAATGTTGACGAATGTCTCATCCAAGAAAGTCGTGGCATGCTTATTGACAGTGCTTCCACATTTGACTGAACCTATTCCGTTGCCTTTTGTTTTGCTTAGAAATCCATATGACCCCAGTTTAACGTTTTATCCTTGGTTTATGTAGTTTTACCTCTGCTCTCTTTGACAGCCACCACCCGTTCATCCATGTTCCTTCAGTGTTTTTATACGTACGCGTCTGTTTTTACATCACCGGCTGTTTCGTAATTTTCTTTACTTTAAAATTTAACTCTAACTTGTCACTGTTTATGAAATGTCCCAGATGATGGCCTCTGGGCTGGAAACATCAATGTCGCATCGGAAGAGAAGGGAGAGTCTTGTGCTGTACGTATTAAAAATAATGATACGTTTTGCTAACCAGTTTTAACTTTATTTTTCTCTTAATTTGCAGCTTTCTTTTATGAGGTTAGTTGGCAACCTGCTTTTAGCGGTAAACTTTCAACTTTCCAAGCCATTTTTGTTGAACACTTTTGTTGTACGTCTGTCCGACGAATTTTTTGTCGCACAAATTTTGAGAAAAATTCTTCCTGAAGACTGTGGCTTCCGCAATGACGAAATCACGTATACTAATTAATATTTTCCTACATAAGGTTGTAGATGGATTTTTTTCAGCCCAAGCCAAAAGATAAGCAAAAAATTAAATCGTACAAAGCCTTTAATTATCATCAACTATTGTTATTCAAAGTATGAAGCCAAATGACTTGGAAAATCTAATGAGGCGTATAAATTCAGCGCGCGATATCAGCATCAAATTTTCCAATAAATTCGATCGACTGCTACGCTGACGATCCGGAGACAAACGAAAGTGACAATCGGCCTCGCCTCCAAACGAAAGAGCTTCATCGCGATCAGGAAGCATCAAATTTAAGGTTCAAGACGCGATAGATGAACGAGTAGATGTCGGTCCATTCCTTGATCTGCAAGCGTGAATGACCAATCACTACACTGAGAAGACTGTAACGAGATAAAAGCCAAAATAATACCAGTTTCTGTGTCGGCTTGCCTACGCCGTGGCCCGCTTTTGTCTCAATCGAAATCATAATCGGATTTCGCTGAGACTTGCAATCCTTCAACGTGTAGTAAGCGTTCGCGATGAACTTCAGCGAATGCGAAGGCACGACCCGGTCGTCGTGATCAGCAGTCAACAGCAACATCGCCGGATACTGTTGACCGTTGGCAAGACACTTGAAACAGTGCAATGGCGAATACCTGAAGCAATCCAGTCTATAGAAAATCCGCCAGAAAAGCATGTTACTTAAGCAAGGACTACTGCAACAAGATTACCTGCATAACACTTTCCATTTTAAAAAAATGGAAACAGATATCCGTACGTCGCACGTT